GCAATCCCAGCCTGGAAGAAAAGCTGCTAGTATGCAAGCTGTATAAAGACTTTAAGCACCACCAGTGTTGGTTCAAACAGCCAGCTAAATAATCTTTGACATTGTGCATGGGGCTAGGAAGAAGTTGAGTACTTACCAACACCATCCCTGTAACACATTAAATGCGTGGGTTCCAGGTGCTTTGTGTTATATTTGAATGACGGCGTGATCAGTGACAAATTTCAGCCTCTTTCTCCATGAAACATGGACAGTAACAAATTGTTTCATGAAATAGCAAGATTTGCCAAGGAGCATAAGCCATGGGGAGTGTTAAAGTAACCTTGCAGCTCTGATTAACAGGCATCCAGATGCTAGATTAATGAGTGGATCTGAAAAGTTTGCATCAGCATAAGTCACTGATAACAGTTGCTTTTGGTTGCTAACATCGTGCAGTAGGAGAGAGAAGGCTGTGCTCTCTGGAAGTGCAGTTTGCAGAACAATCCCTTGGTAATTTCTAGATACAGAATCACATTTCTAGGAGATGTTTAAATTGTTCCTGGGTTTTTGTTTGTTTTTTAAGCACCAAACCATCTAAAGGCTGAGAGAGCTTTCATCCCGCTGCTCATTTTGATCCCAAAAGAGCAATGAGCTGTTTTGTGGATGTGATTGTTTCATTTATGACCAGCTTTGTTCAAAATAATAGTCTCATTAAAGCAAGACAATGAGCCAAAAATGATGTATTAATTTTAATATGGAAAAGGCTGGGGGAAAAACTAAAACTTGCAGGGCAAAAATACTGTGCATTTAGAGACCCCTCTAGGTAGATTGGGCCCTGAAAAGATGTGCTGAGTAAGAATTAGAAGAGGTTATGGTGGTGAAAACTAGGATTTCAGCAATGTTAATCGTGTCTCTGATCCCTTAACCAGGTGTAAAATCAACTCATAATCAGACCTGGTTACTAGGGCTGTGCAAAGCTTCGGGTGGTGATTTGGTTTGGAGGAGATTTGGCCCAATTCAGTGGCCGAATCTCCAAATCCAGACTGAATCAGGGGACCAATTAAAAGGTCTGGATTGATTCAAAGCTCTCCAAATCTTCGGAAAAGATTCAGAGAGATTTGATGATTTGGACAGTCCCCTCCAGCTGCAGCATGGAGTTGCAGCTGACTCTAAGCTGGTAAGTACTTGGGGTGGGGGACTATGGGGGGGATCTCTGCCAGCCCCCTGACCCCCTTCTTGCTCCCCCAGGTCCTCCATGGCTGTCCCCAACCCACCCCAGTTCCCAGCCTTTACAAAAAAAAAAAAGCCCTGGTGCTCACCAGGTGCTGCCAGGTGGAGGGTGAACACTGCTGCCCCCCACTGCATGGGGGCGATCCCCACTGTCCAACACTGCATGGGGGCCTCTGTATGAGCCCCTCAACCACCCCCCTGCTCCCCCAGCCCCACCCCACGGGTGTCTCACCTGAGCCAGCTCTGGCTCTTTAAGAAAAAAAAGAACAAGAAAAACCCTGGGACTCACCGCTCCTGCAGTGGCTTGGGGGCTTTGGGGGTTGTGGAAGAGCCTCCCACATGGTGTGGGGCTGTGGGGATCATCCCCCACCAGCAGGAGTGGTGACTGTGGGGGATTTTTTTTTTTTT